ATCCAGAGGATGCTCCTGGGAGGAGTGGAGGCTCCACTGTTGGAGGAAGACACATGGGGCAGAGGAGACGGCCCTCCTCATCCTGGATTCTCTGCATCCAGGACATATGGAGACACAGAGGCGCCACCTCAGCTGCATTCAGGACCCAGCAGGTGTGCAGCTGTACACAGAGACTGGAAGACTGACAAAGGGCGGGGTCAGCCTTCTCGTTTCCACCTTAACCACTTCATCCCAGGTACATGCGTGTGTCTCATAGCTTGTGATTAAGTATGTTGTGTATTATCGTTTCATGCAAACATAAAATTCATTTTTGATCCGAAACCTTTTTCCTCAAGCCAGTGCCAAGTACTTCCAAGCTCCTGGCAACACCTGCCAGACAGAGCAGGAGGAATAGCGAGTTGTCTTCCCTCCCAGAGACCAGGAGAGGCAGCCCAGGTGACAGTTCAAGGCAGCGACGGGGAAGAACACCTCCTGTCCTGGGAAGGAGAGTCTCCAGAGGTGAGATTCACTTCAGATATCACTGTTTCCTCTAATGAATATCAGATCTATATTAACACACACTGCTCTCTGATTATCTTTCAGCTGTCTTCTTGGACTGAACTCGGGCCCTGCAAACTGGGCCAGTGTTAGCCGCCTGGTGGAGGCCATTTGCAACCAGCTCTGCCGTCTTCACCCGGTGGCCACGTGGTCCAGAGGGACTGTGAGGACTCGGTGGTCATTCATTCTCAAGGATTATGTGGCCATCAGAGAGACAGTGCTGGCCAGCCCCAGGTTGATGGCTCAGACCAACATCCAGCTCTTTGAATTGAATTGAGGACTCAGTGGTAAGAGTTTGTCATAAAGTTGTGTTGGTGTGTTGGAATCTGTTCTGTGATTTATCTTTTAATGAAAGCTGAAAATCCTAAAACAGTCTGTGTTTGTCTGTGTGTTCCAGGTGCTGGCCAGACTCTCCCTTCAGCAAAGGGTCTTTGGTACAGGTGGGACAAGGACAGCCCTTTAACTTAAATGTCCTGGAGGAGCAGCCTCGGCCCTCCAGCAGGGGTCTGCCTCTTCCTCCTCCTCCTCCTCCTCCTCCAGACGATGAACAGCATGGCCCCTCATCCAGTGCTGTTGGTCCTCCCCTCGCTCCAGCACCACTCCCCTCCTGAAGAGATGAAGAGAAGACAGGAGGACAACTTCTTCTGTCTTCATTTATAACTTTTAATTGACATTATTTATAATTATATTTCATTGTTGCATTTGTGTCACCTGATGTCTCATGATGATCTTGGTCCAGTGTTCCCTCTCTTTTACCTGTTTGGTCCGTACGTGTTTGGTCTCCACCAGCTCCTGAGGGAAATCTGTCTCTTTAGCTTCTTAATGCTCCACTATGTTCAGCAGCTGCTCTTGGACCGTGTCTGTCTGCTGTTTGCTGCTGACGAGGTCGTGGACAGTGGCTACTGCTGAAAAAGTCTATATATTCAAAGATGACAAAGACAGTAACTTAATCATTATTTTACTGCACAGTTCTTTTTTCTTTTCAATTATATTCTTAAATTGCATTCACCATGGCCTTGAAAAGCTCTTCAAAACTCTTCAACACCAAGATGGAAAGTTAAAATGAGCGCAGTGCAAAGACTGGACACTGACTGTTTCCCTGGTTAAAATGTTATAGTTTCCTTTGGGCACAATGCTGTTACTGTATGTGAGGATTAATTTGTAATTTGTGCTTTCTTTTATTCTTGCAGCTCACATTATGTACTGTGGTGCAGTGAATGGATGGGCATCTGTTGGTCGTCACATGACTCACTATCACAGGGTGAGGAGCCCTGGAGAGAGATCATCAGTTTCACCTGTACCTCAAGTTCTGTTACTAAATTATATGATAAGTTTATGATGCTGCAGTGACTCACTATCGCCTTTTGAGGAACAAAGTGGTAATACAAGATGAGTTGGACTGTTCAGGACATCTAGCACCAGTTACACAGTGAACCTTTCTAAGGCAATCTGCGGTGACTTATTTCTTCCCCATTAACCCCATTACCATTCTGTTCAAAGGAATGCATTTTATGAAGCGTTGCTGTATATTGGGCAAACTTTAAATAAAGGGCTGATTTGTTTTAGCATTTGTAAGTGTCCTTGAATTTTAGTTTTAATGCATATATATGTTAGGTGAACCTGGATGAAACTAATGCAGTACAATGGAACAGGCCTGCAGTAAATCTTCCTTCATGAGGATTATCATGTTCAGTATTTCCTGAATCTGTTTGAGAAGTGTTGGTTTATTTGTTGTTCATTGTGGAGGCCGAAATTGTATTTGTGGTAATGTTTAAGTGTACTGGGATGTACTGAGAAGTGTTCCTAATATTTAGTTAAATCTCATTCCTTTAAATGGGATGGGCAAAATATTAGGAACAACTCTCTGTTTGGGTTAGTTTATATACAGTGGTGTCAAAGTGTGAGACCACTTTCCCATGTAGCCTAACATGTTGCTCCATAGCAGCTCTAGTATCGTTCAAAATAAAAAGAACATAGCTATTTGAAAGTGTTATGTTATTTTTTTAATGTTTTATTTATTTTTGTCTTATTTATTAGAAAATATGGTCTTATTCATCTAGATTTTTAACTGTTTTATTTAGATTGTTTTATGTTGCTGGTGTTGTATTCTGTAAATTGCTGCCAATAAAAAAATTATACTCACCAATTGCATTTACCCCATAAAAATTGCAACATCATACAAAACAATACAAGTAAATAAATGTAAGAACATGTAAATAAAATAAAGTCAGTTTTGTTAAAGAACCAGTTTTCACAACTTTGAGGGTTTTTATTTATTTATTTTATTTTAATGCTGTAACAGCCTTATTATGGACAACAGTACAGAGTCAGTCACATTAACCAAATACAAAAAAGAAAAGACTTAGAAAACTTAGAAAAACATGAATGCAAAATATCTGACTATTACACTAAAATTCTTATTTACCTTTATTAAATTTCTCATCAATTTCAATTTTATGTGATTTACCTTTGGAGTTGGTGATTAGTAAACCAACATCGTCATTCGATTGAGTTGACTTGTTTTGTAGTGTTTCTCTACCGTTTTTCTATTGGTCAGCTTCAGTCAGCTGACATAGGCCTTGTGCCATGGTTGACACTTGCCTCTTACGGAAGACAGTCGCAGCCGTGCTGTTATTCAGTACAACATCACGACCTCGAATGTAGTATTACTTTTATACAACAGTTCTACAAGCGCCATATTAGTTGAATAAACAAGAACAGATTATGATTTTTGTTTATTTTATCATTTATTTGGCAACGCCCACATAAATAGTTCCCAAAGCAACACACGAACATTTTCCTGACCTGCACAGAGAACACATCATTTAATTCAAATGTTATTTCTGGAAATTTAATTACTTTGCAAAGTTTGATACAAGCTAAGATTGATAACGACCGTTAATGTAACGCTAATTGACGGTTAATAGAACACCTGTAAAGCGGAGTGATACATGTAGTTAAAGGTCCCATTGCCTCTCGTCCAATCAAATTAGTCGGTCAGAACTAACTGTTAACGGCAGACATATTTAAAACCAGAGAACGTGTACAGGACAAAAACTCACCGGCACCTTAGACTTAGATATGAACGGTGGATAACTGGCAGACTCAAACCGCCAGGAGATACAGGACTTTAGGAATTTCTTTCAAAAATGAAGGTATTTATTAAAATGTGTTACACAGTTCAAGAAATAGTTCAACGTTTGGGAATGAGTTTGGTGCCTTTCCTCTTTCGTCAATCTGCCCATTGAGTATGAAGGAGGCGGTTAGCTTAATGTTAACTTGATGGAAAAAAGACCGGAAACAAAGTTAGCCTGGCTCTCTTTAAAAGTAAAAAACACCTTCCAACACCTCTAAAACTAACGAAATAACACTTTACATCTCGTTTGTTTAATCTGTACGAAAACAAAAGCGTAAAAATTCACATTTGTAGTTTTATTGAGGTTTCATCGGCCGTTAGCAGCGACTAAGCTAGCTAATCTTTAGCTTTAGCGGTTATGCTAAACTAGCTAAAATAGTAGTCCGGGCAGGTGCTATTCTCAATACAGAGCAGACCATGCACTCAGGTCCAAATCAAAACCACTATACTGAGACTTGTCAAATCTGGATTAGATAAACCAGAGACTCATTGAAACACGGTTTCAGATTCGTGAAACCTAAAGACACCGTCTTTATCTTGTCTGGGATAACATAGTCCTCATTTAACAAGTGTAAATTTAGTGGTTTTTGATCAGGACCTGGTCTGACATATTATAGCAGTGGAAGCTCCCTTTTTGTGTTTCTCTCAAATGTATTAAATTTGTTCTCAACTATTTCTTAAACTATATTAAAATGACATTTGTGCGCAGATAAAGCGTCATTGTCAACATGGTCACATGACATTGACTTTAGGCTTCAGTAAAACAGGCTCCATATAATGCACAATCCCATGGCTAAAACTCTAAAGCAACTAATTACAGCTGTTTTATATTGTTTCATAAAGTTAATGTTAGTGTGTTTAGTTGAAAAGCTATAAAATACTCCTTAAACAAGTGGTTTTATTTTGAAAAGCAGAACCAGAAGTATCATTTGCCCTGCTGAGAAGATTGAACACACATGCACCATAATATTGCTCAACTACTGTCAGTTTAATCCGTGTAAAAAATACAGTCTATGGTTTAATCAGGCTGTGTTGTGGTCACACGGTGGCGGTGTTGGGCAGTAGTAAACTCAGCTGTGTTATTACCGGGCTCTGGCTCTTATTGGTCCATGTGCGTAAAACACTTCTCATCCGTCCTCATATTTTGGTTAGTTTTGGCACAGTAGCCTCAGTCTCATGCAGCCGCCTGGTGTTGAAACGTATGAGAATTACTCCTAATAACTGGACCTGAAACTGGACTTAATGGAAAACGTTTGGTCTGTCTTTCACTGTGCGTAAAGTCATTAGAGCGATTTTTTTTTTTTTAAGTTTATAACCTCACTCTATCATGTCCTGCAGCCTGTTGGTGAAAACCCTGGAGGACCTGAGCTTGGATCCAGGCTATGTGGCCGGGGAACCCTGCCCGTCCCTCAGCCTGTCCTCCTCCGGCAGGTCGAGGCAATCTCAGCCACACACGAGCACTCCTCACCGGGGACCCTGGTGGCAGCACGCCGGCTCCCTGTACAGCAGGAACGGCAGCTGGGACACGGTGAGCACGTTGCCGGAGGACGCGGCGGACGTCCTGGCCAAGTGTACTTGCCTGCCGGAATTGGAGGAGTACCCCTGGACCGAGCAGGAGCTGCGGGAAATCGTGCGTAAAGTCGCCGGGTCGGATTCGTCGCTCACCGGGGATGCTGTTCACCGCCTGTCTGTTCTGCTACGCAGGGCTTTGGTGCGGGTCTCCAGAGAGGCACAGCGGCTGAGCGAGCTCCACAGACGCTGCACACGCCTGGAGGTCCAGAGCGCGCTGAGGCTGGTGCTGAGCTGGGGTCTAGCCGAGCAGTGCATCGCCTCCGCGGTGAAGGCCGTGTCCCTGCACTGCATGAGCTCCGGGGACACTGCACGTCAGCGGGGCAAGTCCGCACGCTGCGGGCTGACGTTCTCCGTGGGCCGCTTCTTCAGGTGGATGGTGGAGACACGCGTGTCAGTGCGTGTGCACGAGTACGCCGCCGTCTGCCTGGCAGCCTGTCTGGAGAGTTTGGTGGAGGAGGTGACCAGAAGAGCGCTGGAGGCGGCCAGGCTGACTGCGGATGAGGAGAAGGAGCGGTGCGGCGGGGTCACCTGCTGCCTGGTGACCGCAGAGGTGCTGGATGGAGCAGTCAACAATGACACGGAGCTGTGGGGACTGCTGCAGGTCTACGAGCATCTGATGTGTGGCAAAAATGCAAATGGTGAGTTCGAGTACCTCATGACACAATTCTTTTTCACATCATAAAATACACACATTAAAAAAACCAAAGGTTATGGATAATACATTAAAGAATAAAAATTATTTGGGTTTTAGCTGTAGTAAATAAACTGACCTTTGGCTTGTGAAAGTGACAAACAATTAAAAGCCAGCAATTTTGCAGTTTCAAGCGAAACAACAAGTTTTCAGCATCTCCTGTTGACACATTTCTGTTTTTAAATTGAATATCATTGTGTTTATGACTGTTTGTATGCAATTCAAAGACTTAAAATCTGGGTTCTGGGAAATTGTGATGGATATTTTTCTTAATTTTGTGGTATTTCATAGACTGATCTGTTCGCTTACAGATGAAAGTTAGCTGCAGGCCAAGTTTTTCTTTTCTTTTCTTTAATCCTAGATTGAAAGAGAAGAAGTTTGGCAAAATAATTTAAAAATGTACACATATTCAACATTTCGTGCACATGTTGGTTTTATTATGCAAGTTTGATTTCAATAGTGAAACCTTAAACTTAACAGATGAGATCAAAAGTTGTTGTACATGTGACATTTTTCTTGTTTTCTCTTATGCGACATGATTTTGATTCCCATGTGCAAAAGCTTCATGTCAGATGTGAGGGGACAGTTCCCAGGGGAACAGTGACAATGAGTCAAAAGTCACATGTTCACCAGTGAAAACAATCATGAGCCATCACTCAAAAAAACATGCGTGTTTTGAATTCACATGTGTGTTTTCACACGTGACTTGGTCTCTCAGTGTTAGGTGGGATTCACAGTAGAAGCTGCTTGTTCCTGTCGTCCCTCTATGACTTTTTTCTGTTTGTAAAAAGTCTGAATCACAAGTCTGGGATTTTTTTAATAAGATAATGTCTCTCCCTCAGCACTGACCAGTATCATTTAAAATGCCATCAATTTAACAGATAGAAAACAATGATATTGATATTATACAATAACTACACCTCCCATGAGGCCTGCACAGCATGACCCCAATAGCTGAGTTGAGAAGAAAATCTGCTTCATACTCAGTGCTGCATTAAAGCTATAATGGGGGAATGAAACTGCTCAGAAAGTAGTCCAGATAACAATAATAGATAATTACTGGCGGTTTAAGAAGTCTACCAGGACCGTGGAGAGTGATTGGAAAACCCCCTCAGACAGGAAACAGGCATTTTGGGTAATAACGGACACGGAAGTGGAAGATCATTCCTGATAAATGTCTGTGGTCATATACTCACTGGGAAAGACTGTAGTTTAACACACATTCTCTCTCTGAGTAGCTACAGTATATTGACCTTTTGTTAAAGTAGCTGGAAAACCTGACAGGACATTTTATTTTGGATTTAGCTGCTAGTTTGCTAATTCGCATTTTTTGTAAAGATCTCAGTCCAAACTGTAATCGCATACAGGCTGCGTCTAACAGACAGCTGAGTCTCAGGTGGTTCAGCTTCTCTTCTGTCTCCTCCATCGTCACTGCAGCATGTTTTAACACTTTTCTCCGTTACACAGACAGTTACACAGACAATTGAACAAGGAGAAAGGGTTGGTTTGATTGCAGCCTCTGTGCTGAGACACGGAGAACAGTTTTATTGTGTGGCTACAAGAGGGAATAAAAGGAGACAGTAACTTCACTGCCGAACAGCCCTTGACCCAGTCTGAGCAAAGTAACATCATTAGTTCAGTTTTCCTCATCCATCCTCATCCTGGAAAGTTCTGGGTGTGAAAACGCTGCTTTATTGGGGAGTAAAGGTGAAAGTGGAGAAACAAAGATGAATTTTTCAAATTTAGCATAGTGTCGTTTTTACATCCAAATGTCTCCTGGGCTTTCAGAGAGAAGAAAAACTGGATTCTTAGGTGTTATTTAGTTCGGAAATGACACAATTCAGATTTTAACATTTAAAGTGATAATGTGAATAATGATTAGATATTGTAAAAACTCAGTTGTCACTTCTCTAAAACAATTTTGATCAAAAACAGGAACATTATAACCTTCATGAGGGAGGTTTCATCACTGGACTGTTTATGAGACTGATTTAGTTTTAGCTTGGTGTATCTAATAAACTGGCAAGTGAGTGTATCTGTATCAATCAATCAATCAAAGGTTATTTGAATAGTACCCTTCATATGTGTTAGTGCATTTCAAAGTGACTCACAAACTAACAAGACAGTAGAAAAGTGTGAAATGCACATTAAAGATAAAAATGAAGAGACGTGACATTCAAGTGTTTTTGTTTACTCTTACTTATCCCTGCTGCATGGGACTGGAAACTGAATTATCACCTACTGTGTGTCAAACATCAGTGAGCAGATGGCTGTTAATTACTGGTCCTGCTCATTAGTGGAGCTTTGGGAGTGACGCAGGTTTGATTCTCAGCTCAGTCAGTTTGTCATGTTTTCTCCACAAATCCTGTCAGTACTGAGGTGACTGAGGCAGGGTTAGTAAGAATTTAATTAGCTGTACAAGAAGTTGAGTTTAATCAGTCATTTTGTTTGTAGATGTTCCCAGACACAGATGTAAATAACGTGCACCTGGCTCATCTGAATGAAGCCATCATGAATATTATTAGCAATCTCCTTGTTGTAATCCTGAGTCAGAGATATCAGAAACATCTGACAGCTACGTCTCTCAGTGTGCAGAGTGCCAGTTAAATCAAAATATCACTTGAACGCACCGTGTTTCTCTGCACACTGCGACACAGACTTCATGTTCACTCCCATGAGAGTGAACAGGAAGAAGAGGGTAAAGTAAATGAGTGAGTGTTGTTAGCCTCTGACCCACACAGACGACACAAAGGAGCTCTCATTCCCGCTCAGGCTGCGGGGCACGAGGTTCACGGCCCCCAGTGCCGTCTGCTCGGCTAAACAAACAGCCAGTGTAGCTGCTGTCCAGGCGAGAGAGGCAGTCTGTCACCCCACTCCACTAACAACACACACACATGCAAACACTACAGGACACGCTCTGTTTCCTCGTTCAGGTTTTAATAAGGACATTGTTTGAGGACCAAACGGCCAGTCTGATCTGATGATAAAAATAAATCCCGGCAGTGAAATGTGAAAAAATGCCTCCAGTCTGTTTGCAGAGATCCTGCAGAGAGTATCCAAAAACACAGCTTGTAATGTCATTATCTTCCTCAGATCCCAGCAGAAAGCAGATTTACATCGTACTGAGCCCAGTCATGTCTGCAAAGATCAGGTTCAGCCCTTCAGTTTCCTTTGAATGACCTTTTTTTTTCCTGCTTTTATAAGGTCAGTTTATCCTCTGACTGGTTTCTGTTCTGTCACATTTAACACAAACACCATATTAAACAAATTATGTTGCTGTTCATTCATTTGTCAAACATTTTGTCATTTTGTCTCGAAGTTATAATTATGGAAAATGGAGGAAAAACAGCAAATCTAAGCATTTGAGAAGCTGGAACCAGTTAATGATTGATGACTTTGAAGCAAAATGATCCCAAACCATCGATAACAATCTTTTTTTAAATAGTGAAGGCAAAAACTTGAAAAATCAATAATTTTATCGTTTAATTATGGTAAATAAAATGCAATTATAAGACATTAATAACAATTACTTGGGTTTCCAAGCTGTGGAAAAGCACAACACCTTGCTACGACTTAGATTCATCAGAGAGAGAGAGAGAGAGAGAGAGAGAGAGAGAGAGAGGGTCTACAGCTATAAATGTTAGTAAATCATTAACAAAGGCACCATGTTTCCAGCTTTCTTATAAGCCATTTTTTATGCAGGGGCTTTCACGACTTGGTAATCTTAAAGTTGTTAGTAATGGCTTGTAACTGATTTATAAAGTATCGGTGCATTTATTGATCATTGATAGCTTATAAAAAGCTTTTATGAATGATCAGAATCTTTATTAGCTGCCTCATGTTGCATCATATCCGCAGCACATGTTTAACGTATCATACAGGCTGAGCACAGTAGCTCAGTAACTGATCTGGGAGCAGATGTAAAAAAAAAAAAAAAAAAAAAAAAATGTATTACTTTTCCAGATAGTTGACACATTAATGTGGGGGAAAAGTACAGTGACATATCCTGATGTTTTGACATGTTGTTCACTGCCAGTGTTTTGTTGTGTCCTTTTAGAGCTTGATGAATCCTTCTAAATATGCAGGGTTGATACTTACAGTATGTGTTGTGGTCAGCTTGTTGATGCTCAGACTTGAGGCTGAACAGGAAGTGGAAACAGACAGCTGGAGAAAGCGTCTGATCACAGAGATGGAGCGGAGAGCAGGGGGTAATCCTACACTCACTCTGCTACCAAACCTCATATGATGTTATCTCCATCTGGCCTTTATGCAAACTATAAAACAGAAGGAAGAAGTGGTTTTGGCTGCAGTGTTTTCTCATGCTAGTACAACCAGTCAGAGGTTTAATCTCTTTTTGATTTCTGTGAGGCGGAAAGAGAAAGAAAGAACCAACAAGAGAAAGTAATGTGAAGCAATCACTGCTAAATGATCAATCAGAGGCTGATGACTTCTCACGCCTCTGTGATGAACGGCTTTAATTAACCACCAGAAGTCCCTGTGACAGGAGGAACACGAGTCTCCGTCAGCAGAGCCCGTTTGGACGGTTTAACGAGACGTAATCAGGCTCTGCTCTGTCGTTAACACTGCCTCATCACTGCTGACTCCCGGCTCTGTGTTCACGTCTGTAAAACCCTGTGTCAACTGTGCGAGAGCCTGAGCCAACAGCGTCCATGCACACTGGCTCCAGACGTACCGCCCGCAGGCTTTATCCAGATTACTCTACCAAAACAGAGTCTTCCCGCCAATTCTGCCTGCGTGTTTGACATGACTCTGGGAGTTGTAGAAATACTTTATTTACGCCCACGCAAGTGAAAGTGCAGGTTTGAGTCAGAGAGCAGGACAAACTGTTGAACTCTTCTTCTTTGTTTCTGCATGAGATGATTTTTAAAACAGGGTTCTTCTCCATGGTTTTGGTCACGTTTGCACAGATTGCAGGTGGTGGTGTGGGGGTCGTTGCAGCCTGATGGACTGAATTGTTTCAGTCTTACATTGTGTTCATGTTTGCTGGTTTCTCTGTGGGTGTTGGCTGGTTTTTCTTCACGTTGCGTACAGGAGATGTGATAACGGAGCAGTGAACTTAAGGTTTGTCGTGTTTATGGAGGAAATGTGTTGACTTCTTCTCATTAAGTCTCCTTACGACTTCTCCTCTGTTTTAAATGTGCTTTATTACGGTGGCCCTGAGAGCTCAAAACACTGCAGCTTAAGAAAACACAAACAAATTCAGAAAACATCCTAAATACTCGCAACACAACCAAATACACAAACGCGCGACAAGTAGTACAGACGACAACGGAAGTGTTTCCGGGGGACACTATAAAAGTGATGTATTGACCTCTCAGGGCCACCGTCAGTCTGGATCTCAATTAAGACTCTGTTTGCTCCCTTGGACTCAGTTTAGACTCTGCTGAGGTGGTCTTGACCTCCAACACACACACACACACACACACACACACGCACACGCACACACATACACACACACACCTTTGCCCCTCTGTGGTTCTGTTGTCCTGACCAAACACTTGCAGCATTATACCACTCAGCAGAAAAGAGCTGTTGTTTTCAGACATGGTGACTGTGCCTCTGTTTTCATTTGGGACACACAAGCTCACCGGCACACACACACACACATACACACACACACACACACACACACACACGCACACACTTTCTGTGAGGATGCAGTTGCAGCTTTAGGGATGTTAAGCGTTCTGTTTTTATTCAGCCGCACAAACACAAGGAGCGGGTTGAAGGAAATGACTTGATCACCTGTGACTCTGAATGTAAGCAGGGCAGTGTTACACACAGGGGCTGAGGGGTGGGGGGGTTTGGGGGTTTCAATACTACACAGGTAGGGATTAGAAAACAGTGATTTGTGCTTTGTCCACTGCAGACTGGTCTCCTGTTGTGTAGCCATGAATTGATGCTTGTTCACTCTCCTGCCTGTAAACACTGCGGACTAATCAGAACCAATTATCTGCCACACTCACTCCTGGTCCAACCAAAGATTTCTTTCTTCAGGCCCAGACAAGAACCGACTTTCAGAAAGCTGAGGTGTGTTTTCCAGCTCAGAGTGATGAATCTGTTCAGGCTGATAATCAGTCAAACATCAGACAGGCAAGTTGTTAATGTGTTGATGTAAGATTTTGATCGGGCTCCACACAGAGATGCACAAAAACCTTTTTATAACTGCAGCAATAAGCAAAGAGCTCATGTTTTCTGCTGCAACACTTTGTCCTCTATTTTCTACAGTAAAGAGAATTCGATGATGATGATGGATGATTCCTTCAAATGCATACTTTTAATATGACATGATGTTTTAATCATGAATACTTTCATCAGGTCGTCTCATTGAGATTCAAGAGAGATCAGGGAACAGTTAGACAATCATACAACATGTATGCAGCCAAACAACAATCAGGAAGAATTAAATGAATAAAAGTAATTACTACAAGAAGGGAAGTCCGTTAGGATGGGATGTCTAGGGTAAATATCGGATCAAATTCTGTAGTTACAAAATGAAACGAGGGCAGAGATGTGAGGTAGAGTTAAAAAATCATCACTTTCATCAGATCTGATCATGGGATCCTTTTAAATGGAGTGTTTATTCTCAGTGGAGCAGGAGTAAGGTCTGTAAATTTCACTGTAATGTGCTTATTAGGATTATGAGATATATTTTCTGCAAAGCTGATGTTTTGGCTTCAGAGTGTCAAGTGGGTTCACCAAAAAACAAACTGTCACTGTGGTTCCTGACTCTCTGCGACGATGACGATGATGATGATGATGATGATGATGGTGGTGTTTCTCCTAATCTAATCATTGTGAACTGTCGACTCGCTATAGTTCAGTTGGGTGTGTTGGCTTCAGCTGTTTGTCAGATTGTCCTCACTGAAGCCGTCTCCATTGTGTGCAGGACCAGGAGTCAGCAAATACCCGATTCAACGGGGCACAATGGACGGGGGTTTCATTAGTGTGTCTGTTTTCAAAATCTGGTCTCATGGTTTTCAGGGTGTGTCATACTCTGGGGGTTACAGGAAGGTTTTGATAAGTTTTGTTTGTCCCTTTATTAGATAAAGTCAGTAAAAGACAGATGTGAAACATTTGGAGGGATATGATATGAAATTGAAAATTTATTTTGGTGGTCAAAGGTCAAGGTCACGGTGACCTCAGAAAACAGACCTTTGGCCTTGTCAACGTAATATCTCCGTAACGCCATGAGGGAGTTTCTTCAAATTTGGTGCAAATGTTCAGAGGTCAAGGTCAGTGTGACCTCAAAAACACTTTCTAGCCATTACTCAAGACTTCACAGCAATTATGACAAAATGTCCCACAAATGGTTCATATGTTATATGACTCTGGATAAACAGGGACGTAACCTGAAACTAGTCTGTGTGGCGGAGGGATACGACCCTGAGGTGGTGATTCTAGTTTCCTTTGTTTCTGAAGAGACAGAACATTTTAGAGTTTAGAGTAAGTTACTACTGGACCTCAGTGTAGATGAATCATTCCTGATTCTGTTTAGTATTTTGCTTTTACAGTTCATGTTTGTTTATAGCACTTGATGCTGATTCATCGTTGGTATCCATGGTTACCACTGTGACACCAAGCTGACTACAGCTGCTGTGAGGCTGTTATACACCGAGTTAAGCACTAAGTATCCTCACAGTGTTTACAAAGAAACTAAAGTCAGAGAATCACTGATGCTACTTTGTTTTCTTTTTTCCCTTTTCTATTTACGACATTTTCTAAATGAAAAAAAGGCAAATGAAATCATAATTGTTTTTTGTTATTTTTGTTTTGACATATTTTACATTGACATTTTCTTGTCTTTGAGTAATTTGCCTTTCTTTTTCTCTGTGTGTGTGTGTGTTTAGGTGAGCTGTCGCTGCCGGCCCATGTAAGCCCATACACAAAGGTTCCCGAGGACTCAGTGGAGAGCAGGGAGGATGCCTACATCCAGCTGGAGCTGCGAACACTGGAGCAGGCGCTGTTGGCCACCTGTGTGGGCAGCATCGCAGAGCTCAGTAAGTGTGTGTGTGTGTGTGTGTGTGTGTGTGTGTGTGTGTGTGTGTGTGTCACCGCTGCCACAGTCAGCTCCTGTGTTTAGTGTGTGTTTGTTTAAACTGTGACTGGTGTCGGGCTCCGGGGACACATCGTTAGACGCTGCCAGCTCCCCCTCGGTTACATAACAGCCTGTGGCTTGTATCCAGAAAACAAGGGCACCTTCACACCCTGCAGGCCACCGTAGCTCATTATGTGAACGCTCATTAGAGAAAGAAAATAAAAGATGTCAGTGCCTTCACCGTTCATGCTAATTTATGGACTTGATGACACGTTCATGTGAACACGGAGCACTGTGGCTCAGTATTCTGCTTCTATTCTATTTCACTGTAAATTCATGTCATATTGTTTTTACAGGTTTCACATTTCTCCTTCATAGTTTTCAGTTGACAGATTACATGGTCATCTATGAGACAGGAGCAGTTTTTAGAATTAATAAATCATCAAAAATAAAGAATAAGTATTACACACTAGAAGGCTTGTGTTAATATTTTTTACTGCTTGTAAAGCCTCATTCATTGCACTTAATCGTAATTTCAAAATCTTTATTCAGGTAAAAGTTGTTGTGAGTGTGTCAGTGAATCCACATGTTCTACTCTTTACTCATGTTTCCTAATGATTGTTTGCAAAATACATTAAAATCATGCAAATAAAGAACCCCCACATTTTTTAAAATAATTTAGAAAACTAAAGCTCCATTAAGATGAAAAAGAAACATGTCTAATGTCTGTTTGCTGCAGTCGTGTAAATGAATGAATGAATTTCTGTTGTGTATGAACTGTTTCTCTGTGATCATGGTGTTTCTTGTGTGACTGCCATCCTGCAGGCGACCTGGTGTCTCGAGCGATGCACCACATGCAGCGTCTGCGTAGCTCGAGCCCCTCCATCAGCCCCGTGCGTTTAGCCAATCAGCCGTCGGTATCCTGGGCCCCGGACGCCCTCCGAACACTCTACTACTTCCTGTCCAGTCCACAGATGGAGTCACTGGAGAATCCCAACCTGGAGCCTCCGACCATGACGCTGACCAGAGAGAGGTGTGTGTGTTGTCTGTGAGCTGATCTGCACTGACATCAGTGGCCTCAGCTTTGTTGTCACATCAGTAAATCACTTCATCAACTATGAGCCTGTTATTTAAGTACTAGAAACAAACAGCAGACGGTTTATTGTCGGTTTATTTCAATCTCTGTTTGTATTTTTCTCTGTGGAGGAATCTGCTTTACTCTTTTCTTCCTGTGGGAGATGTAGAGGTTTGTTTTAAAGAAGCTGCTCTCAGCTCCTCAGGCGGAAAAACTAAAAGCTGCGTCAGTTTTTGTCCTGCATCCACTAAAATCTTCAAACTTCCAGAGAACCTGAGGCTTCGTCCTGATTCATGGAGGATTTTAAAATGAATACAAAAACTGAAGATGAGTAAAATGGACAAAATAAAGGCGCTGACTGTCTTCGAATCTTCCTCCAGGCCGTTCCTGCTCCTCCCTCCTCTCATGGAGTGGATCAGAGTCGCCGTGGTGCACGCTGAACACCGCCGCAGCCTATTGGTGGACAGTGATGATGTCAGACAGACGGCCAGACAGCTGCTTCCTGGACTGGACTGTGAGCCCAGACAGCTGAAGTAAGACACCAGTGAATGCTCCGCGACTGTGTAAAACTTCCCCTGGTTGAAATAAAACTGTGTGTAGGGTGGTGATGAAAAGTGTCCAGGTGAATATTTGTGCGTCTGTCTCTCTGCAGGTCAGAGTGCTGTTTCCAGTCCTTCAAGTGTCTGGATGCAGAAGCTGCTGCAGCCAAGTTCCAGCTGGATCTGGGCTTCAGGATGCTCTCATGTGGACGAGCAGATTTGGTCCATCAGGCCACGCAGCTTCTGGGAGCCGAGAGGGTGAACACCATGGATGACCAGGTGAGTGAGGGGTTTATGTTGTGTCTCAAGTATAAAATTAAAACAACGAGCTACAAGTGGCCTGGTTCAATGATAACAGAGGGACTGTTGTCTGTCGTTAGACCTTTACAGTGAATTCAGACAGAAAGTTTTGTTGACCTGCCAAAGTGAAACAACAGATTTTGAACTGAAGTTTTCAGTTGTTCTGCCGTGAGTTTTACCTGGATTGTTTTAACAACAGTCTTCTCTTTTTGAAAAAGGTCAAATGTACCTTCACACACATACTGTATCTGTGCACATTTTACTTGTTCATAGCTGTGTAACTTTTCATATTCCCAGCAAGTCTGTGAAAGATCTGTATTCTTCTGCCGTCACAGGTTGTGATGTGTTCAGGCGAGGGATGCCATGATCACGATTTTTTTTGCCACCAATACGATCATCTATGAGTGAGATCGGATACTGATCATTTTTGGTGGCATTGCAGATGTCGTACGTTATATCACTTCTCTCACACACTTTTGTAAAAGTTCCACACGGCCGACATGTTTTGTTTTGATGGCCTGTCACGTGCCGACGCAGTGAACAAGGTGGGAGGCGGGACTACACTACACAGCACACAGTGCTTCTCTCAGCCGCAGACACCAGAGTATTAACCACAGGTGATCGATGGAAGCATTAATTCCCATCTACCGATCACGTATTTATAATGAAGATCTGCCAATAATGATCGGCGGCTGATCAATCAGGGCATCCCTAGTTCAGGCATGATCCAACACTCAGTCTTAACACCTAAGAAACTCTTTTTTTAATTTTTATTTAAGGTAACATATATTCATCTGCGTGGTCTAATAAAAGTGTGTATGTATGTTGGTGCAGGGGATGACTCCTCTGATGTACGCCTCCGCAGCAGGAGATGAAGCTCTGGTGCAGATGCTCATAGAGGCCGGAGCTAATCTGGACCTGCAGGTAAAAAATCACCTGCTGACTCAGATGTAACACTGTCCACATCACAGCTGGTTGGTGACATGTCTGAAGTGTGTGTGTGTGTGTGTGTGTGTGTTGTTCAGGTCCCCGGCTGCTCCGTCAGACATCCATCTGTTCACCCTGGCAGTCGGTGCTGGGTGGCCCTGACGTTCGCTGTGCTGCACAGTCACCTGTCTGTGGCTCAAGTAAGGGCTGAACACAGAAGAGTAGACAGTAGAAGACCTGGTTTCACCATCATATAATTATATTTAATCTATTTTCTGTCACTGACTCCTGAAATAAGCAAAATTAATCGTAGTGAGATAAAACACGACTAGAAACGGAGCAGTTTAAATTTGAAGTTGACATTCAGAAGACGTTAACAAGTTTTATTTTGTATATTTTTTTATTAAACCGTGACCACAACCTTCAAGCTACACCTACGGTTGTTAGATGATCCTTTACAATAAATGTGTGATCAACCACAGAGACAAATTAAAGGACTGATATTGAGACTGCTCTGAAGTTTTTGATGGAGATAGTGCTAACAGTTTCCCCCTGCATCTAGTCGTTGTGCTAAGCTAGGCTAAGTCCTGGACCCCTCACACAAAGAGGTTGAGACTCTGCTGACGGTGTTGTGTCCTCATGCTCAGCTGCTGCTGGAGGCCGGAGCAGACGTGGAGGGTGGAGCCCTGCTGGACGGTCAGGAGAGCTCAGCCGAGACGCCGCTGCAGTTAGCTGCTGCTGCAGGTATGGTGTTAGCGAAGACTGAGTCAGACTGACACGATAAAATCAATTCACACACACTGATGACGCATGCTGTGAACTGGTACTGATACTGTGCTACAGTGAGTTAAAAAAATTACACATGTTTTTTAGATTTGCTGGAGCAGCTGCTGGTTTTCTAGACAGTTGTTCAAACTCACAAGTTGTTATGTAGCTGCTGGTTGCTAAGTTTGTCCTTTGAGGTTAGTTGTGGTTACCACTGTGTTTCTAGCTGGTTGCTAGTATGTTATATGTATTTGGGTTGCAGGTTAGCAGTGAGTAATTAGCAGCTAACTAGTTGCTTAGTTGCTCTAAGTGACTGTTAATGTGCGTTTAGGGTGTTTTGCTGCTGGAGTGATTCCATGTTACAAAGTTGTTCTACTGGTTGCTATGGTTACCATGTGTTTGCCGGAGTCACAGTAGTGGTTCAGGTTCAGATGATGCTTCACTCTGTTGAAAAAATCCACCAACAAAATGTTTGATCCTCCCAGGTTACTATGAGATGGTGAGTCTGCTGCTCGCCCATGGAGCAGACCCTCTGCTCAGAGTGCATCATGGGAATTCACTGACATCACCGCTGTACGAAGACATGAACTGTTTCAGCTACGCTGCAGCACACGGACACAGGTGACCCTCACCCCCCCTCAGAGCTGACCTGTGTGCTTCTAGTTTCATTTAAACACATGATTTCATTGACACAAGAAACTCTTGAATGCAGCTTCACGTGTCTGATACAGAACAGAGCAGGAGGAGGGAAGGTTTAAATTTAATATGTCTGACCAGAAAAACAGACAAAAGCATCACCTCCTCTCTTCTCCACAGGAACGTTCTCAGGAGGCTGCTGCTGCAGCCACAGCACAGGAAGGAGGACATCCTCTCTCTGGAGGAGATCCTGGCTGAAGGAGTGGAAGAAGAGGAGGAGGAGGAGGTGGAGGTGAAAACTCACTTGGCACACCCTCCAGCTCCTGACTCCTCCAGCCCTGTTCCCAGGCTGTGTAAGGCCAGGATGAAAGCTCTGCAGCAGGCAGCGTACTACAGCGCTGAGCACGGCTACCTGGATGTTTCCATGGAGCTCAGAGAGATGGGTGAGAACTGATATACGTGCATGAATGTCCCTGATCACCAGTGAATGCTGTAATTAACCACAGTTATATTAGCTAACCACAACTAACAACAGATATACTCTAACACCTCAGTCGTGCATTATCTCATCGACCTGCTCTGTCCAGGTGTTCCCTGGAGGCTCCACATCTGGCTGGAGTCTCTCCACAGAGCTCGGCAGCTGTGCAGGGACGAAGTCACCGTCTCCCTCCTCACAGAGTTTCCCTCCATCAGGACGGAGGACTACAGCCCCGAGCTGCTCTCCACAGGGATACCGCTCATGTTCAGCATGTTAGAGACCAGCAAGGTCTGACATGAGTTTTCTGTCTCTGTTCTACCTTAATAACACAAAGCTTTACTTAATAACTGTTCAATACAAACAGAAACTGCTTCATCTTGGTTGAAATGATGAGATGTGTTATTGTGGATCTCTGAGGACACAATTTAACATTTGAGAGTTACAGTTGTATTTGATCTCTGTTCATGCAGTGAAAATAAGACGGCAACCTTAAGATGACCTGAGCAGGAAAAAAACGGCTAACTAACTAAAAAGTAGCTAACTAGCTACCTCGCAATGAGCATCGGCAAAATGGCCGTGGATTGTCAGTCAACGGCTGGTGAGGGCAAAATAAAAACCCTCCATACAGATAAAACAGCTGACAGTGACACGAGGTCGGGCTGAGTAATGACATGAAAACAGTCTGATGATCAGGCTGCTGCTGGTCCAGATCGTGTTTCCTTCAACAACCACACCGCGTCATTTTCAGTTCATACATAGTCATTCAAGTGTAAACAAGGAAGCTTACTAGTCACCAAGTTATGCAAAAAAAAAAAAAAAACCCTGAAATTGTGCCAGTTTTCAGACTAAGTGTTGCATTTCATGAGAAATGAATCATTCAAACCAACTAAGACCATGTTACCCACAGTTTCTTCATGCTAGCTAAACTATGCTCAGTCAGCTTCTGCTTCATGTTCTTCACTGATAGATTTCAACCCTGTTTCTTCACAGTTTAAACTGTTGTCCTGTCAGGGTTGCTTGTTCATAATGTTGGAGTGAGGTAAAAAGGTATTTAACGTGACTTTGCAGCTGTGTGAAGTTGTTTTTCTCTGCAGGACTACGTGATCACCAAACGTTTGGCGTCTGTGTTCTCTCACTGTTACGGCGGCTCTCCTGTTACTCCCGTCCCCCCCGTGGACGTCACTCTGTCCACACAGCTAGGTAACACATCGCTGCCGTCATGCGACGACTTCCTAAGGTGATTGTTCATTTTCTGACTATAACGAACACTTGAAGGATCACACTGACGTCTCTGTCCTCAGATATTCACTTCCTCAACAATCAGGAGATGTCCGACGTGACGTTTATGGTGGACGGACGTCCGTTCTTCGCTCATCGGGTGCTGCTGATGTCGGCGTCTGAACGGTCTGATCTGTTCTCTCACTTTACATGTTCTTCATTATCTTTTTCATTCATTCATTTCTTCTCAACATTTCAGCTCACAGATTGATCCTAATGTGACCTTTTCAAACAGAGACTGAGTTTTTGAAACCCTTAATGTTAATAACAACAGACAAAGGGTTTCTACCTGTAAAACAATTTTTAGCCATTTGTGTGTATATGTATATAAACATGTGTATATATATATATATATATATAAATAAAAAAGAGCATTGAATCAAAAGATTATAGGAATATTCATGCAAAAGTAAAAGGTAAAATGCAAAAAAAGAATACGAATAAAAAGCCAAAAAATAAAGACATAAACCATAAAGAGTAACAAGAAATAAAAGAATGATAATGTAAAGTATAATTAAAGTAAATATTACATGTAATAATTGTTTTAGCTTGACAGATACAATAACAACAAACAAAACTATAGACAAAAATACAAAAAATAATAAAAAATATAAAAATAATAAAAAAATAATTATTCAATATCATTAATATGAAAATAAAATATAAAAAAAGAGATTACAATTATATCAAATACTTAAAACTGTATTATGTGGTTTGATTTTTCTTTTACAATTTCTTTAATTTTTTTATTGATAATTACTCATTTTAATTTGGCCTCTTGTGGCTGAAATGAGAATTAAAAAAACAAACACACAAAATTTCCACTTGCCATGTCACTGTCCTGATTTTTACTGACTTGGAGTTTAATTTTAATGTCAAAGATGTTTTTATCATTATGAAGAAAAGTGTTTTCATATTAGTGAAAATGTGCTGATAGATGACATAATCTATCAATTTTATTTAAACTATAATATTTCGTTTTAATATGAGGATATTAAAAAAATAATTGTACCATTAAAGAAATTGGGAGAAATATGAAAAAAATGTCAACACTATTTTCTCATTTTAAAAATAACTGTGTTTTCTTCCCTCCAGGTTTCGGCGGATGCTCAGCGATTCTCCCGACAGTGTCGTCCACATCAGTCACATGACCTACAGCACCTTCCAGGTGGGACACACATTTACCTTCAGTGTTGTGCATGAATGTGTTCAATGAACAACATTCATCGAACACGTTCATATATTTTGTGAACGCTGAACTGAACGAATCAGTTTCCACATGATAAACGTGAACGTGAGTGAACAAGTTCATTTTCATCTGTATGAACTGAACTTTGAACTAGTTCTTTTTAAGTGTGACCTGACACAACAGTGTTTACCTGCTGCGCTGTGGTTGGGGTTTGATTGGGGTTCAGATGAATGATAATGAAGAGTGTGTGCTTCTCTGCAGATGATGATGAAGTCTCTTTACTGTGGAGGAACAGAGGGACTGACCGTCTCACAGTCTGAAGCCATGAAGGTAAAATCGCTCACCTGTTCCCTGTTGCTTCTCTTATACTGGGTTATAACATCATTTAGCAGAATGCTTCGTTCGACGGGGATTTAGATGTGTTTGATTTGTTTGCAGCTGCTGCCAGTGGCCACGTTCTTCCAGCTCAGAGCTCTGCAGAGATGCTGTGAGATGAAGCTGTCGCTCAGTCTGACTCTGGACAATGCCGTCAACTTCTACCAGACCGCCAAGGTACGAAAACACAAGGTGACACGGTGAACACTGAGAGGGAAGAGTCTAGATTCTGATTTAAAAACCACTCAGTTTCCTTCACTTGGACTCTGGTCTGTGGGTCTGTATAAATGTGGATCTGATCGAGGCAGATGTGGCTGCTTTCTTTTGAAAAATGTGATTAATACTTTATTTTATGAGTTGTACAGTTTCCTTGAAAGAAACTGAAGCGTCACTGTAAATTTAGTTTTTTGGAAGGATTGTGTAAATTCTTACAGGTTATACGGAAATCTTTCATCATCTCTCAGTCAGTAGAGTCAGTACTTCCCTATTTTGCCCCATTTTTTTTTATTTATTTATTTTTATTTTGCTTTGCTCTTTTTCAGAGAGAGAAAAGGCATTTGAGGCTTAAATAAAATCGACTTGAGAGAAGTTCAGCTGAAGATGTAGAAATAACTTGTCACAAGCAAACAAACAAAACTGAGCTTTGATTTCCAGATGAAACTCGTCTGGAAATCATCAGCTGCTTATTATTGCAACACAGCTGAATACATTCAAAAACCTCTCTCAGAACTTTATATGTAGTTAAAACCAAATTACACATTTCTCTCCATGAAAAGACATTACCCTGAAAATAAACCGGACCAATGTATCACGTTTCACATGAACTGGTTCTGACGTGTTTTGGTCTCTTACATTTAAACTCTGGACTTCAGAATTAGGTCTGAAAACTTAACACTGAACTGAGAATAAAAACAACTTTGATTCAGACAAACTTGGCTTGTTGTCAAGTTGTTAAATGTTTAAAATTTCTGCGCTCTTTTCAGCTGAAATAATCAAAGATCTATTCACTTCCTACTTGTTTCCTGTTCATATTCACATAAACAAAGGTCAGTGTGTATGTCATCGCAGTGATGAACTGGCGTGTGTGTGTTTGCAGCACCACGGCGCCGCTGAGCTCTGCAGGTTCTGTGAAGGATTCTTCCTGCAGAACATGGACCAGCTCCTGGACAGGGAGGACTTCCACCGCCTGCTGCTGGGCGGGGTCGGGCAGGAGCTGCTCTGCCCAGGGACAGGCACTCAGGACCGGGATCTGCCGGTCCTCCTGAGGGACCTTGAGGCTGCGCTGATCCACAGACTTTACACCCTTCACTCTGCGTGTCGAGAGTAGAAAGACTGCAGCTGCCACACTGGTACGTGTGTTTGGGAAGAGTAGCCATATCCTGAGTTACTACAGTAGTCTGCTTAAGGAGAACATGATAGTAATAGACTGTTAACACTGTCTGTTTAACACGTATATTTGAACATGAACCAAAGCTCTTGTTTAGACTGATGTTTACTGTGTCTAACACTCTGACCAGAGTTAGAGTCCTGTTAACCCGACACCTGAGAAACTGCACAACCTGATCATCTGAACAGACACTGACACATCAGTGCTCAACTAAAGGACATGAAACTCAGTCACTGTCAGATTCACCAAACTGTTTAAGATCATGTGTCTCACTCTTTACACTCTTGTTAACTAATTGGCTTTGAGTGAGTTAAACTGTTTTTTGATCAGGATCGTTTTAAAACAATAACTCTCTAAACGTGTAATGCTACGTACATGACATGATGCTAAGAGACTAAGGCTAAAGCTATCGTTTGCACAGCAGTGTTGTTCCTGTGTTGCAGGGTAGAGATAGTTAGCTTTGTATTATGAACAAAACAAAATAAAAATGTTATTTGCTCTGTCAGCCCTGTTCAGGGTTAACTAAGTTAGAGAGATGTACCTGGACGAGCAAAGCAACGTTAAGAGTTTTATTTTCCAAATCTGTTTCACTTTTACAAGAGAAAAGTTTTGTTTACAAATTAGCATAACGCTAACTAACGTAACATTGGCATTATTATTAGTAGCAGCAGCAATACTGTAAGCATGGAGCTGAGCTAATCACTTCACACTAAGAACAGATAGTAGCCTCAGTGAAAAGATATGACTGTTTTTACACATTTTATACAGTTTCATTAACCATAACAATACAAAAAAATTGGAGTAAAGTGTCGCTTCACCCAAATAAATAGAATAAGTGGTGGTATCTGGTCATTTAGATAGTGGGATTCAGTTTCACCCAATACACAGGTGGATAACTTTAACTGTAAAGTCTGTTTCAAACCACAATTTAACCCAACAGCCCCACAGCAGACCAGCTCCTGAATCCTAAACCTAACCTCTGCAAAATAACATAATGCTAGTTAGCTAACGGCATACTAACACTCAACCTTGGAGGTAAAGCTAGGTTACTACCATAAGTAGTGAGCTAGTTAGCTAGGCATGTTAATGTTTGTGGCTGCCATTAAAGCAGAGAAACACACAGTTTAATCCATCCAACAGCTGCTGTATGTTTATAAACTTGGTGAATCTGACACTGCTTTATAAAAAGAGCATTTCCATTCACTTTACATGACCACTGATGTGTCCATGTTTTTCAATCTGCTGCAGGATTCATACAAGACATTCACAAGCTAAATGTAAACCCTCTCCAGCTGCATGTAGATAATCAACTCTGAATATGTAAATACATGTAGATATATTTGTGAATAAACATCTCAACAACCCAAACTGTTCTGCACCAATCGACTGTCACACACAAGCAGCTCCAAAGTCAACAGATTTATTTCCTTTAGCACTGAAGTTGTTCACAGTTACATCACAAGGGAATACATTGCCAGTGGTTATCCTGCTCAGTAGTAGCGCTCCGTGCTCCGAGTCCATTCTGTGTGCTCTGGATTCCCACAGTAGAAAAAGAGGAAAGCGAACAATGGAAGGTATTGCTTTAATTTTTCTCTCTGATAACCCAACACCCACCCAGCTGGTCTGAGTGAGCGACCCGATCGCCAGCGAGGTCCCTCTTTGAGAGAATGAGTGAGGAGGATGCATTGCACGGTTACTGTGTGCGCACAGTAATCAAAAAGGAGGAAGAGGGCAAGAGGACGGCGAAGGAAATCAAATAAAATAAAAAATAAAAAAAAACAATAAAAAAAACAACAATAATCAAAAGGCAAATCAAAACAAACGCACATAAAGAACATATACATAAATAAGTGTGGAGAGAAAAAGGGAACAGGAGAACAATTCCAACGACGACATGCAAAGAAAAGACGAATGCTGAACATGCAAACAACCGTACGAGGTCAAAGCTAAGAGTAGGAATCCCCTTGGTTTTTTTAAATAAGCTTGTCAGTAAACTCGGCTTATTTACAGAATGAGTGTTTGGTGAGATCTGAGTCAGCGTACACACAGGGGGGAGGGGGAGGAGGGGGGGGGGCCGACAATTATCAACAAAGGGTTTGTTCCTCTCAAAGAGGCTACGTCTACATTCTTAAATTACGGTAAATCATTTTCCAAACGTATATTACAAGGTTTCTCTCGTCAAAAGCTGGAAAAAGGAAACAAAGCGCTCACGTTTCGACGTTTCGAATAACTTAAACATGACAAAAATATCTTTAAATAATTTGACATTAAGAAACATTCTCTACATCTTTCATATAAATAACTGAGAATAAATTAATAACAAAAAAAAACCCAAACTGACAAAATACAGTAAAGTACAAAAATATACAGAGCAGTTCAATATTGTCTGAAACCTGCAGATAATTCAAAGGAACCTGAATGACAACAAAATAAAAAATAAAAAATGACTTGGTGTAACTGAACTCAAACGTTTCACTTGTCAAAAGTGCAAAAGTAAAAGGACGTTTTCATGGATAAGGCCTCGTCACACCAGAGAGTGGCACCGCAGCGTAGGGACTCACAGGGCTGGTTAGTGGAGTACGGTAGCCGCTGCGCTAACCTATAATGTGCTATCCAGTAGGGAACATGCTAGCTAGCACTATTTCTATTCTCAGCTGTTTACTCCCCCTCAGCATTTTGTTGTCAGGGCTGTTCATCATCGAGTCAGTGACGAGTTCCTGAGGTGGGAAAAGAAGCGCTCCCTGTTAGCATAGCTCGGTTGCTAACAGGACAGTAGAGCTGCAGCTAACGATAATTTTCATCATCTGATAATCTGCCAGTTATTTTATCTATTAATTGATTAAATATTCAATGTATGAAATGTTTAAAAAACGGCATTTACATTTACACATGTACTGTCATGTATGACAAAATAAAAATGGCTAATTTAAGAAGCTGAAAGCAGATGACATTTGGAGTTTTTGCTTGAAAATATTAATCAATTATCAAAATATTTGCTGTCGATCGATTAATAGCTGCATCTGTGGTTCAGAGTTTATTTAAAAGACATCACTCCTGTGTCCTCACAAAGCTGCTCGCTACGTTCCCTCAAAAGCTCAGCCCTGTCACGACGGCTTGTTATTGGACGATGACACAGTCACATGTCAAAGTTCCACCAATCGCGGCGATGAACGGATGTTGCTGCCGTTGTAAATGCTGGTGTGACTGGGCCGAAACAAAACATGGCAACACAACTCAAAAACAAAATGTCACAACTACACTTTTTGTACATACGGAACATTATTTAGTCTGTACAACAGAATAGATCATTCATTTATGTAGTATCACCCCCCCTCCACCTTATCATACTTTTTAATGGGTGACTTTTTAACTCCCAGAATCCCCTTTCACAGAAACATCCTGCCGCTCACAAAGAAAGACGACGTTAAAAAGAATTACAATCCAGCCAGCGTTTGTCCGACCGTCCGTCTCCACGTTCCTCCGCCGCTCGCTCCTGATCCCGTTTGTCAGCGTGTGCAAGTCTTTACATCCCGCAAAGAAGAAGTCATGTTCATGTCGAGGAGTACATACAGTGTGTGTGTTT